CAAAAATGACATCAGGTGAACAGGCACTTAGTAGATGGGAGAAAATTTTTGCATCTACTCTGACAAAGGGTGAATATCCAGAACCTCCAAGAACCTCAAACGAATGTGACCAAAAAAATACAATCCATCAAAGAGTGGGGACAAGGATATGATCAGACTTCTCAAGAAGAAGACATCGCATACGGCCAACAGACACCATTGAAAAAATGCTGTGATCACTGGCCTTTCAGAGAAATCTGCTAAATCAAAACCACAATGAGATACATCTCAATCAGTGTAGAATGGCAGATCATAAAAGTAGGAAAAAGGTGTGGGAGAGATGTGAAATAGGAAAATTTACATGGTTGGGTGGGATGTAAACTACTTCACGCATTATGGGAAGTATTGGCAATCTCAAGGATCTAGAATGAAATACCATATGACCAGCCATCCCATTACTGGGTATATATCCAATTATGTGTTATTATATCATGAGTTGTTATAAGACACATGGACATGTTCCTTTTGTGATTGCGGATATGCACATGAAAGACTTGGAATTAACCCAATGTCCATCGTGACAGACTGGATTGTAAGAAATGTGGGGAATATATGGCCCATGGAATACTATGCAGCCATCAAAAAGGATGAGTTTGTGTCCTTTGTAGGGACACGGGTGCAGCTGGAAACCATCATTCTCAGCAAACTATTGCAAGAACAGAAAACCAAACACCGCATGTTCTCACTCTTAGGTGGGAACTGAACAATGAGATCACTTGGACTCGGGAAGGGGAACGTCACACACTGGGGCCTATTATAGGGAGGGGGGAGGGGGGAGCAATTGCATTGGGAGTTATACCTGATGTAAATGACGAGTTGATGGGTGCAGCATACCAACATGGCACAAGTATACATATGTAACAAACCTGCATGTTGTGCACATGTATCCTAGAACTTAAAGTATTATAATAAAAAAAAAAGACTCCTCTTAAAACCTCCTAAAACTGATAAATTAATTCAGCAAAGTTTCATGATACAAAATTAATGTACACAAGTCAGTAGCTCTGCTATACATCAACAATGACCAAGCTGAGAATCAAATCAAGAACACTCAACCACTTTCACAATAACTGAAATAAAATAAAATAAAATACTTATGAATATACTTAACCAAGGAGGTGAAAGAAATCTACAAGAAAAAGTACAAAACACTGCTGAAAGAAATCATAGATGACACAAACAAATGGAAACACATCCCATGGTCATGGATGGGTAGAATCAATATAGTGAAAATGACCATATTGTCAAAAGTAATCTACAAATTAAACATAATTTCTATCAAAATACCACCATCATTCCTCACAGAACTAAGCAATCCTAAAATTCATATGGAACCAAAAAATAGCCCACATAGCCAAAGCAAGACTAAGCAAAAAGAACAAATCTGGAGGCATCACCCTACCAGATTTCAAACTATATTGTAAGGCCATAGTCACCAAAACAGCATAGTACTGGTATAAAAATAGGGACATAGACCAATGGAACAGAATAGAGTACCCAGAAATAAAGCCAAGTACTTACAGACATCTGATCTTTGACAAAGCAAATACAAACATAAAATGGGGAAAGGATATGTAGAATGAAACTGGATCCTCATCTCTCCCTTTATACAAAAATCAACTCGAGATGAATCAAAGACTTAAATCTAAGACCTGAAAACATAAGAATTCTAGAAGATAACATTGGAAAAGTCCTTCTGGTTACTGGCTTAGGCAAAGACTTCCAAGAACCGAAGAACCAAAGCAAATGTAAATGCAACAAAGAACCAAAAACCCAAAAGCAAATACAACAAAAACAAAGATAAATAGATGGGACTAAATTCAACTGAAAAGCTTCTGCACAGCCAAATAAATAATCACCAGAGTTAATGGACAACTTACAGAGTGGGAGAAAAACTTCACAATCTAACAAGGGACTAATATCCAGAATCTATAAAGAACTCAAATCAGTAAGAAAAACAAACAAGCCCATCGAGAAGTGGGGTAAGGACATGAATATGCAATTCTGAAAAGAAGATATGCAAATTTCCAACAAGCCTATGGAAAAATGCTCAACATCACTAATTATCAGGGAAATGTTAATCAAAACGACAGTGCAATACCACCTCACTCCAGCAAGAATGGCTGTTAAAAAAAAAAAAAAAAAAGATAGATATTTGCATAGATGTGGTAAAAAGGGAACATGTTTACACTGTTGGTGGGAATTTGAACTAGTACAACCACTATGGAAAACAGTGTGGAAATTTCTTAAAGAACTAAAAATAGATCTACCATTTGATCCAGCAACCCCACTCCTGGGTATCTACCCAGAAGAAAAGAAGTTATATGAAAATTGCACATAGCATGTTTATAGCAGCACAATTTGCAGTTTTCAAAATAGGGAACCAGCCCAAATTCCCATCAATCAATGAGTGGATAAAGAAAATTCCCATCAATCAATGAGTGGATAAAGAAACCTTGGAATACTATGCAACCATAAAAAGGAATGAAATAACGGCATTTACAGCAACCCGGATGGAACAGGAGACTATTATTCTAAGTGAAGTAACTCGGGAATAAGAAAAACAAACATCATATGTTCTCACCCATATTTGGCAGCTAAGCTAAGAGTATGTAAAGGCATAAGAATGATACGTTGGACTTTGGGGACTCCAGAGAAAGGGTGGGGAGTGGTGAGGGATAAAAGACTACACATTGGGTACAGCGTACACTTCTCAGGTGATGAGTACACCTAAATCTCAGAAATCACCACTAAATAACTTATTCATGTAACCGCACACTTCCAGTTACCCCAAAAACCCATTGAAATAAAAAAATAAAAAATTAAAAGAAAAAACAAACACCCTTTTCTCCTGTTACAAAAAAAGAAAATTTAATGTAATCTACAAAATGGATAAACAAACTGGAACATCCAGACAACAGAGTATTATTCTATATAAGACATGAGCTATTAAGCCATGGAAAGACAAAGAGGAACCTTAAATGCATTTTCCTAAGTGAAATAAGTCAAATGAAAATTCGACATGTGTATGTTTGCAACTATATGATATTCTGGAAAAGGCAAAACTCTAAAGACAGCAAAAACGTCTTTGGTTGCCAAGGGTTTTAGCTGAGTTTAGGAATAAAATGAGCAGGTGGAGCAAAGGGGATTTTTAGGTAAGTGAAACACTTTTGTGTGATACTGTAATGGTGGATACACGACATTACACATTTGCCAAAACTCACAAAATTGTACAACACAAAGTGTGAGCCCTAATGTAAACTATGGACTTTAATTAATAATAATGTATTGATAGTGTTTTATCAGTTATAAGAAAGGTGCCTCACCAATGCAAGATGCAACAACAGAGTTAACAGGGTGGGGCAGTGAGGCTGAGATGAGGTGGAGAGGGTATATGGGAACTCTTTACTTTCTATTCAGTTTTTCTGTGTACTTAAGATTGCTCTAAAATCAAGTCTCTCTATATATGTGTTTTAAACAGGGATTCATTGCAGAGTGATTTTAATCACAAGTGTGCTAAATTCAGTCTTTGCAGGAGGGTCTGGAAGGGAAAACTAAAAGCAAGCACATCAAGTAGGAGGACACTGCCATAGTGAGTAGGCACTTGGGGCCTGAGTAGGGTGTTAGCAGCTAGAAGGGACAGAAATAATGTGAGAAGGTTCCGAAGAATTAGGAGAGCCTAGTGATGCCTTAGCTGCGACTGTGAAGAAGAGAGAAGCCAGGGTACATTAGTATTTGCAGACTTCTGATCTAGGCTTGGCTCGATTTCTGACACATTGTGTGAGCTCTGGCAAGAGACTTGGTATTTCTGGACTTTGATTATCTTAGGAATGCCCTGGAGGCATCACTCTCATGTACAGGCTCAAGATCCATCCATCAGAGCTGCCTGTCCAGTACACTAGCTATTAACTTCACATGACTATTGCACACTGGAAGTGTGGCTAGTCTGAATTGAGATGTGCTGTTTGGTGAAACAGTGCAAAAAGACTTAGAAAAATGGGACTGAAAATGTCTTATTCATAATTTTTATATTGATAACACATTTAAATTATAATAGTCTGGATATATTACATTAAAAAATACATATTATTAAATAAATGTCATCTGTTTCATTTTTCAGTTTTGATGTGACCGCTAGAAAATTCAAAATTACATATGTGGCTTGCAATTGTGGCTGACTTTATATGTCAATTGCATAGCAGTGGCCTTGAGCTTCACCAGATGCTTTGTGTTCAGGAACATCTACAGTTGGCCTAGAGAATGTTTTCTGCCTACACAGGGCCATGCCCCACTCTAGGATGGAAGTGGGATGGAGAGAGACACGTTAGGCAAAGAGACCCTAAGGTAACTTGGGACTCTATTTAGAGAGTCATTTTCCTACCCACTTAGGGGGTATATCCTGGAGAAATCCTTCCAAGTAGTAGTTCAATCGCAATTCCCCAGAATATCTAGAAGAAAAGGCCACAATTTCTTTCTTAAATGCAGAGATAATCCCTCACAGTTCCTCCTTTCTTCTGCCTCCATGCAAAAATTAGCAATTTAAATCTGGGGCTGACCCAGGTGGCTGCTTCTCTCACCTCATCTCCCTTGAGACTTGGCAATGAGAAAAACCACAACTGGTAATTTCCATGTTGATCCAAGGCTGATACCAACATGGGGAGAAAAATTCCTACTCTCCCACCTGCTAGGAAGAAATCAAGCTTGAACCATACATGTTCTTAGTGTTCCTAGGACTCTGATGCTTTTTACCAAGCACCTTAGGTGTGCAGTACCCAGACCACATATACCTGGTACCTCTTACCTGCTCCAGGAACACCATACTGTGCATATATCTTGCCTGTATCTATTTAATTTGTCCTTTCTTATGTTTCCTTTTTCATATCTGGCCCTCAGATAAAGACCCATGTAGTATCCATGTTCCCCCATTTACAACCAATGAGACTCAGAAATGTAGTCATTACCTGCTTTCATGAGTCCTGGCTCAGATTGAAAGTATTCAGTACTCCAACATCATCAATGAAACCTGAAATCCTTAGTCTGGTATTTAGCCTTTCATATAATGACTCAAGCCAATTTTCCTGATATATATCTCATTTCTCAGAAGAGCAGGGTTTCGTCCTTCCCATCAGCAAATTCTTCAACATATAGAAGAGAAACTGCGGTGTGTTAGCAGTCGTGGAATGGCATGGCTGTAGAGGCCAAAGTGACCTGATACAGAAAAAAAACATATCTGTGAAGTCTTCTGTTACATCTTAAACATTCATGCAAATTTTACATTCCATTACACATACACACCCACGCGTATTAAATTATCATTTAGGGAAATTGTTGCTTCAGGATGATGTTTATGAATTCTTATATCCCTTGCACCTAGCCAAGCACTCCCAACTGTAGGTATTACCTAATTTAAGGAAAAATGCACAACAGAAACTTCTACTTCAGCAAGACCTGTTTCTTCGGCTAGGAAATATCTCTTAAGTTTTTCTGTCCCCACCCCGACCAGGAACTAGCTGGCATCTTAGAAGGCCTGGAGTATTTGAACTCCTTCTACCTATTTCAGTTTCAGTCAAGTTTTACTGCTTCCTAGCACCCTCCCTGACTACTCCATTGGGACATGGGTTTTTGCCTCCTTGAACTACTGCAACAGTGTCTCTGTCCCTCTTTGGTTCTTAGCTGCTAGGTCATGTGCTGTGCAACATTTTTATGTCTCCCCCACTGCAGCATGAGGTTTGGAAAGGCAGGGCCCATGTCAGTCTTGTTCATAGTTATTCTCAGCACTTAGCACAGTGTCTGGTATATCATTGGTGCTCACTGAGGATTTAGTAAATTAGTGAGTGTTTAAATGGAAAATTTGATATGACTTAAGAGAATAACAATATCTTAAGGACAGGGTCTGTCTTCCATGCCCTTGTTTTTCCTGCAGTCCATGACTAATAATCATTCGTGTTTATGGGAGGGTGGGTGGATGTGTGGGGATGACAGATGGAGAGTTTGGATATTCAAAAGAATTACCAACCAGCTCAACTTATTTTCTTTACACACGTTAGTAGAGTGAACCATTCTATATTTCACATTCTATATAGGGATATGTTTTAAAGTAGCTCTGTACTTTGATACTATATTCTATCAGACTTTTATATAAGGCCATATTGTTGAGGGCTATTGAGAGATGGAGAAGCAGAGGATTCTTTGAAAAGCCGCATGAGAAAGAATTGTGGGTGGCAAAGGGACAACTAGGTGTAATTGCTAACAGGAAGAGACAGGTGCTCTTCTCATTAGCATCATCAATATCTGTCCTGCTTGTATGATTTCAATGCCTGTATGGAGAGTTTGCCAATGGCACATTCACCATCAGGCTCTATATATAATGAGTAGAGAGGTAATATAACCACAGAACCGAAATGAATTTCCACTCTTTTTACAATTCAGTGTGCACAATGGAGAAACTATAGATGTTAGAAAGAACAGAGAGGCCTGAGCAATGCATGCTCTCCTGAGAGAAGGAATGCATGGGTCTACAAACTAGTTCTAATCAGAAGACTATTGTTTGTGCTTTCTGTCATTTAAAGCTATTTACAGATTTGGATTCAAGAGTTTTTGTTCCATATTGAAGCATTTCCAGAAGCAGTGAGAAAAGTGATTGGGGAGGTAGAGGAAGTCATAGCATAGAGGTATGGCAAGCAGACATGATTCCTAAACAAATTAATAAATTATTGCAGAAATTGTAATACTCTAACATGTGCCAGTATTTGTCTCTTTGGCCATATGAGAAGAAAATGGGTTACTGAATTCACAATATTAACCCTGGAGGAGACCTATCCAAGGTCTATTGCAAGCAGGAGCCCGCTGGGGACTCTGAGGCTAGGCTCTTCCCATGATGTCCTGGCAGGTACACATCCAGATTCTACCATCCTGTAATTTCTGCCCTAGTTTCGTGTGGCATGGCCACTTTTTCCTAAGTATAGTCTTTTTCTACCACAGAGTGTAAGTAACACTGATATATAATCAAATAACCTGTAACCTTAGTACTTCAAGTATGATCTGAGGACTAGCAACCTTGGGTCACCTGGGAGTTGCAGGTTTTACTGCAGAACTCACAGATGATCAGAAGTGAAATTTAAAATGATCCCCAAGTGACTCGTATGCACTGTTCTCTAATGCTCTGCCCTCTAACCCTTTTCACTGGGCTGCTTCATCACAATGGCCATTCTGGGGTCCTTAGATTTCTAACACTTTAGTCTTAAATTATAACCCTATATCATACCATCAAACTTTTTGTTTGTTTGTTTGTTTCATCTTAGAGATTGCTTTTCCTGGCCCACTGCTGATAAGCGCCATCTTGCTTACTGGAGATGAGTCCTCCAGGGATTTGTGCATTCAAAGAGAGTCAGTTCACTTCTTTATCCACTTAATTCCACATATGATACCTGTGGCTTTTTTTTCAATTTTCCTAAACATAACAGTTCTTAATTTCCTGAAGCTATGTTAAACTGTAGATCATGTCTTCTTAAACTTGAGGACATTAGATTCAAATTATAATTTTGATGTTAAGAATAAACCTTTACAAAAACTATAAATGATAATATTTCCAATAGTAGGCCCTTCACAAAAACCTTTATGGGCCCTCACTGGGCAACCTTTTGTAAACCAAAAAGACCAGAATAAGAAGTTTGTGTACCCACTTCCACCTCCAGACCCCTGCACAGTACAATGTAACACACTGTAGGGTGAAGTGAGCTGGTCTGTACTCTGGGAAAAAGCAGAAATATGGTGAAAATAAACAAACCTATCAGGCATTTAAAGCAGTTTTGGCAGAGGATTTTGTTTGTAATGTAACATTGTTATGATAAACAAATGGGGATGAAGAGGGGCTTGATTTGACTTTTTATAGTTTCCAAATGTTCGTGAAAGGCAGTGTATACTGGCTTTTGAATTAATCTACCACCTCTATTATGCCTGTTTGGTTGCAATGAACTTGTGGTTTTTAAAATTATCCAGTTTGCTGGTAAGTTTAAAATTGTTCATCTAAAATTAAAGGAGTGCAGCCTTCAGATTGAGACAGATGTAGATTCATACGTCAGGCCTGGCATTTACTAGTCCTGTGAACTTTGACAACTCAGTTTTCTCATCTGTGAAATGTAGAACTTCGTAACTACTATATAGGGTTGTCTTGAACTTTAGAGAAAATGAATGCAAAATACCTGGGAAAGTTATTTCCCTGGAAGACCAGGGCAAAAAGTCTCTTGGTAATTTGACTTAGGAGTTAACCTACATAGCTGTCCTCATCATTAAAATTAATTTTATCGTTTAACTCTGCCAATAAGACAGATTTTAGAGTTACATTTCAGGAATATAGTGAGTCAAATAGACATCTATGGATTCCTGGAAGCCATGTTGTTACTACAAGATTATTTCCTGGTTTCAACCTAGAACTCCGAAGGAGAAATATGTCTTAATTTCCTTCTATGAATGCAATGGCTATTAACACAGGTCAAATTTCTTGCTAATCAGGATTTGCAGAGAAGTGTCTGTGACCTCAGCATGGGAATAGTCAGACATTCATATGCATAAGGTGTTTGAATGTCAGGTGTTCGTTGTCCAACAGAGTTGCTGTACAGAAGAAAAGCTGCTGGTGTGGTACTTGGAAGTTGGATGTGGCATATATTAGAGGATTTGGAAGGAAGTAGTGGGGAAATAGATAAGCTCTGTTCTACCCCGATCACGAATAGAGACGTAATATTTATTTTATGTACTTATATATCTGTTAATGAAAACTTCTATAACTTTATTTAAAGAAAGCTTACAATTAAGGAGCAGACCATTGGCTGATATACTTTAGGTTCCTTATGTAGTGAAAACTTTGTGAAGTTAAGGTTTATGGTTGGATATGAGTGAACTTTGGGCAGCGAACAGAGTCACACAAGTATTTCTTCACCTGGTTCTTATAGGTTGCATTAAAAATGAGGTTCACAATGGAAAAATGTATTTCTAAAATGACTAAGTTATCTCCATTTATTTTACCCTACAAATGATAAAATAAAATGGTTATTCAAACCATTTATGTTTATTTCTATGAAGTTACTTTTCTTGAATCAATTCTTTATACTGAATATTTTTATTTTTTGTTTCTTATGTAGCTTGTCCTTCTTTGAAAAAATGAATTACATTAGAAAAATCAAAAAATATATTTTTGCTGATATTTGTATATGATTCAAAAGCAGTTTCTTCAAATTGAAAAAATCATTTAGAGGTGTCATTACTTTCTGTATTCATATTCTTACTGATTTTAGTTTGATTTTAGAGAAATCTTTTAGATATTAAGATAGAATTTTTTTTCCTACCCATACACCAAAGTCCCATATAGAAACTAGAATATTGACAAAAACATGCTATGTAATCCTCCTATCTCATCTCCTTATCTCTTCCCACTTAAGGTAACAGCCATCCGTAATACTTTGTTGATTACACCTTTAACAGTTTTTATTGTGTGTATTTAAGGTGTACAACAAGATGTTTTGATATAAATATACATAGTGAAATGATTACTATAGTCAAGTAAGGTAATATTGACATCATTCACATATTTATTCATTTATAACTTTTTTGAAGTTATTATGCTTTTACATTTTTAGAAACACAAAGAGGTTAGGAAATGTCCTTATCCTCTAGGAACATGTGATTCTTTCAAAAACACTCAATGCAATGTAAAACAATACTTAGACTGGAGGAGATGTTCATCCTTGTTTTCTATTTAAACGCTGAAATTTAATGTTTGGCAAGCAGTGGCATAAATCAAATTTTATGGCACTCTAAAAGTAGTTCTACATCTTACATGAGGAACCTGCTGTTAAATAAGAACATTGTGTCATTTACCATCTAGAACTTGGGTAATTAGCCAATTCTAATAAAAGAATGCAGGGTTCATAGCATGTTACATCTGACCTTGTTTTCCCATTTGTGCTGTACGTAGCAAAATGATGCATTTTATTAGATAGAAGGTGGGTACTTCTTGTTTCCTGACTATTATGAGTAATCAAACCAGGAAACAATGACTAGAGGGTAGACACTTAGTAAAGATCAAAGTAACTTGGATATGGGAAATCTATTAATCATTATTTTGTTATGATTGTTAATAGAACTTTTCTATGTGTGTTATCTACTTGGCTGATGACCTAGACCACAATGGAAATTTGACCAACTTAATAAAC